AAGGGGTGACTCTTCCAAAGGAGAATTAGGGATGGATAGTAATACTTTGTTATTCTGTTCATCTTAAGTGCATTGTCCTCTTGTTCTCTTTCCATACAGAGCAGTTCAGAATGGGAAGTTACTATCAAGAAGCAAGTTAGCATCTGAAGAACTGGGAAAACTTGATTATTTGGGGACCCATTAAATCCCTTTCCTTATACATCAGTGTAAGGATAGATAGGTTTCAACTTTGCGCATTCTTATTCCAGGATAGTCAGGGGTTTTGGAAATTAAAAATAAATATTTGTGAATTCAGTAATGAAAAATCAGTATCAGTAAATTTCTCCCCACCCCCACCTGCGTCACCTTGTCAACAGATCTTCATATTGTTGATTGCTTAGGCAGTTATAAGGATAAAAAGTAGAATTTTCTTTGCTACTTTTCATTCATTCTTGTCTTTTCCCATTCTCTAGACATTTCATGTTTTATAATACCTACTCTACTAAAATTCAAGGTCAGTAAATCTTGCTATGTACTGTAGTCTCCTGAGAAGGGAGTGCTTTGTTGTTTATTGCTCCTAATATTGTAAAATAACACACTTGGACAACTCAGACTAGTCCATTGCTATAAAGAGTTTTTTCCCTGCAAGGGCCTTTTTGAAGACTTTAGAGGGAGTTTTAGAGTTCTTTCCAAAGAAAAGCACTATTGTTCTTCATTGATTTATCTAGACTATGTCAACACGGCGCATTGCTATATGTAGTGGTAACCAAAGGTACTGCAGGTGTTACCATGCCTGCCTAAGTTGTATCTTCTCACTTTGTAAGTCATAAAATCAAATCTGACTGAGATGGACATTACCTTCTAATCCTTCCCCTTGGTTTTCACTCAGTACCTTGCAAACTACAGTTACAACAGTGATCCACAGGCTACCACTGCAGTTGTAAAATAAAGGTCTGCAGACTAATGTAAATAACGCTTCTACTCAAGGAGCATTTTGTTTTACTGAAGTGCAATGTCACTTGCATCTACTATTATGCAATGCATTTTGCAGAAATTGGGTTAGATTTTTTTAGTTCAGTCTGACTGTGGAGCTTTGATCTAAGGAGCTAATAGCTAATTATCAAATGCCTAATATTTATGCAAATAATGGGGCATATCTAGTTCCAGCATCTTTCAGTGTATCAAAGGCCAGGTATGGGCTATCTGATCTACAAATCACTCTTGATAATATTAAATAATGGTGATAGTCTAGTCACAATTTTTTGTGAAGACTAAGGAAAAAAATAACCCAGCTTTTCAGAGGTTTTTGTATTGTTTGCTTGTTTTCTTAGTCTAGCAAATAATTGCTGCTTTCATTCGTCTCTGTGCTGGTATATTCATGTAACTTACCTGTCTTGCCTCAGTATCTGTGTTTTACTTAGCATCATTAGCTGCTTGACTTTTTTTGTTTATATCTTCCTGAACTTTTTTTTTTGTACTAGTAGTGCCTTTTTTCCACTTTAAACATCTGAAATATATCTTTAGTACTACATCAGGCTGTTTCATCTCTTTTCTATATTGAGAAAGATGCTACCTTTCCTTAGTTATCTTCTCTTACCTGCTCTGTTCTGCCCCTCACTAATCAGTTACTTTTGGAAAGGGTTACACTAGGTGCCTAAACCTTTACATTGACTGTTGTGGCAATATGACTGTTCTCTTTCCACAGTTAACACAGGAGCCACTCTAATTTCTGCAGCATTGCAGGCTGATTCTGTTAGGTTGCACAGTGTTGCCATTGGTCTTGCTCATTCAGCTTTATTTAAACACCTCCAAAGACCAGAATTTCCATCAGCTTTGTTTGCATGTTAATCAGTTGAAGACCAGACCCCAGCAACTAAAGGTTTTATATAGCTGAATACATCTTATTACATATTGAACTTATTTTTTCAAAAGCTTCCTGTATGCTGGGATGCTTTTTTTCAAAGACTTGAGGTCAGTTCCCCATAATCTCTTAAGACTTTGTCTACTGTCAGTACATGCTTCTGACAATAAATTGCATTTTTGTAGACAAATGCTTAAGTTTTTTTGAGGTATTCTTCAGGTTTCTATTTCCTCCACATTACCCAAAATAGTGATCCTCATCTTTGTCTCATTTGAATACTTTTGTGTTAAAACCATGTAACCATTACACTGCTATTGTGTATGTTCAGATCTCTCTTAAAGTGGTAAACTCTTTAGCCACGGTCCCTTGATTCAGATCCATTCATAGTGTGTATCTTTAGCTTTGGAAGGAAGCTCTGAGTATGCATCTTCCCCTGTGTTTATCTAGCTAATAATAAGCTGCCAGGATACTTGAACAGCTTTATGGCAGGCATCCAGCCCTTCACCCAGGAAAGGATTTTGCTTTAGCTTTCACTGGAGAGAATTCAGATTCAGAATAAATGTAACACTATACCTGAACACTCCTAGTTAAGTCTGGATGGAAGCTGACTTTCCCTTTCCCCTGTGGCTAATTCATGACTGAAAAGGTTAAAACAGACTTTAGGGAGTTCTTCACCACATTGCTTTACAAATGCTCAGCCTCCTTAAATGTGGCAATGCAAAACCCTTTTCCATTCAGATGGTGAAAAGGGGGTGATTAATAGCTGCCAGTGTACTTACCTCTTAGTGTATTGCAACTAAATGCTCAATTGCATGTAGGTTTCTTATATATTGCAACCTGTGAACTTTTGACAACTATACTGCATACATGTGTGTAAATGACCACTAGGTGTGAAACCAGACTAGTGACTTTAGTGCTAAAACAATATTAGCCTAACAGTAGGATTGACTTAATGTCTACCTCAGTCAGTGAAGTAATATTATGGCAATAAAATGCAGAATATTAAAAATACTAATACCATACTATGCTGGTTAAGTGATGATAGACTCTGAGCTCCATTTGAAAAAAAGGAGGAGGCATATCTGCAACTTATCAGTGTTCTGAACTCCATTTTGAATTCTTACTGAGTCTCCTTCAGCAGGTTCAGGTGAACTGGAGCTCCAGTCTTTTAGGTTAGCTCTCCATGTCTCAGTTGACATGCTACAGCCACCTCAAACAAGACCATGAATGTAGTAGTGAATGGGAATGCATCACCTGGTGAAAAGGGGTGAAAATAGAAAGCAATTTTGGTGAGAAGATACCTTTTCTTACTTTAAGACCTATTTTGCTTGACCTGAAATGCAATCTGCCTTGCAATACAACCTTCGTGACCTTCCCCAGATATCTTGGTCTGGAACGGGTATCTGTAGCCAGAGTAGGATTCTTCTCCTACTCTAACACCTCAGTCTCTCGTCTCAAGTTCCAGGCATGCTGCTCTGCTGTTGTGTGCTGTGCACCCAGCTCCCAGCTGGCTTCCCTGTGGCCCAAGGGTTATCACAGGGTAGTTGATTTGATCTTCCTAAAAGACAGTGACAGCCAGTTTTGCTTAGTGCAGTTTGATAGTCTGGTTGTGCCAACCACAACATGTCTGACTCTTGCCTTGTCAATTCCTTTCTTGTTCTCCCACTTCCGAAAGAAATAAATATCTTCATAACAAGTTGTGATAAAGAAGCAGGGGAGGGAAACTGGATACTAAATTAAAAACAAAAAACTAGGCTTTTTGTCATTATTTACTAACAGTGTGTGTTAAACTGAAAAGGATCTAATTAAGACAAATGCCCACCTCCTTGGAAGTGTTCAAGGCCAAGTTGGATGGGGCTTTGAGCAACCTGATCTAGGAGAAGGCGTCTCCCCTTGGCAGGGGGCTTCAAACTAGGTGATCTTTAAGATCCCTGCTAACCCAAAGCATTCTGTGATTCCATGAAATCATGTTTCCCTAGTACTTTTTAATAGCTTTCTGCTTAATCTTACAAGGATATTTACTGTGGGATTTTAATATGTTGCTATGTGACAGAATGGCTGTGCATGGATGAATAAGGCTAAAGAGTATAGATAACACAGTGTGGAGATAAAATAATGCCATCCAGTAAGAGAAGTCTCAAAAAAAGTTGTTTTAGTGTTTCTTGGGCTCTGTACATCTTTGTGTAACTGAGAAAGTGGCCTTATTTAAAGCCAGAGTAAGACTGGCCAAATCTCTCTTATGCTGTTAGTAACTAAATTGGTGCATGACAAAGTATAAATATTAAATGGGCAACATACCAGTATCTTAGAGAATTTGGGGGCATGAACAGTGTTCACAGCTTGAAATGGAATAGCAAGAGTTGCCATACCTATAACTCTAATGGTGATATTTGAAAAAAAAACTTCATCAAAATAGCAGCATTACCTAAAGATTGCTGTGGTAAAGTTATACGCATTTAAAACGTGGAAACTTCACCAGTTATCAATTAATGTATGTAAAACTGCAAAGGAGGAAGGACAGAAGGTCATTTTCACTTCTACAAAAGCTTATCAGATTTCTGTTTCTATGAAGAATATTGCTGTAGAGTAAAACATGGCCTCACCCTCCCCATAAAATGTATTTGAGATTCAATAAACTGAAAATAGAGTTGTAGCTGACTAATGTTAGTGCTTTTGAAATGTGACAGGTATGCAATCTAGTATGTGGATGTTAATGTTTATAAAACTCCTATTTAAGAAAAAAAAAATGCATCCTGTCAACTTTTTTCAGACTTGGTTACATTATCGATATTTCTAATGTAGCTTTTCTGTAAAACATGATTTAAAGCAGAATTTCATTGAGGTAACGTTTGCCTCATTTCTGCTACTGCTTTCTGCCTTAGCATTTGAATGATTAGATTCATTCAATACAGTAACAGATCTAGATGAATGTAAAAAAATCTATTTCACTAAAGTAAGTGAACAACTCTGAAAGTCCATCTGCAGCTTTTTCTGTTGCTGCCTTCATTTTCCCAGCATAATAGGGTTCCTACTAAAGGATTGAAGAGTTTAAAAGTAATTTAATTGCTGTATAACAAGCCTTATCCTTCGGTGAGGTACTTCATTGAAGCTAGACAGTGAGTGTTTTGTGACAGAAGGAAAAGCTGAGGGGGATGGGAGGAGGAAGCTATGAAATGACCACGGCTGGCCTCTCTGCATTCCTGTAAGGCTTGCTTTTTTAAAATTGGAAGCGGCTTTTATAGATGCTCCTCCAAACAGGTTTGTTTTTTTCCATACTGTCCCATTTAGACTTTGGAATGTGTGTATGAAAGGGCAGGCCCCCAAAGTGACTTTCCAATCTGTTTTTGCAGTTCCAGCCAAGTTCCCTTTAATGTATGGAGCAAGTGAAGTTGAGTTGACTCTTATAATATCACAGAACTCGGGCGCAGCTGCTGCTTTAAGTGGCACTGTGTGATAGTACAACAGCTCTGCTATTTACTGGGACTCAAGTGCCTGGACTGGCACACAGACATTATATGAAATCCGAAAGCATGAGGATAAAGGAGATTTCTTTGCGGCAGGATCCTGATCTAAGAAAGGAGTTGGCATTGCTAGCTCGAGGATGTGATTTTGTTTTGCCTTCTAGATTCAAGAAGAGACTGAAAGCTTTTCAGCAGGTCCAGGTTTGTATCTCCATTCTTAAACAATTAAGTTGTTGTCAGTTGTACTTTTACAACCACATAAACTGCAGGAAATACAGGAAAGTTCATCCTGAACTAGCAGGATTTCTATATTGTTCCATATATGATGATTTCTTCTGTGTTTAGAAGACGGTGCAGGTAGCTTTATGCAAACAAAAAATGAGTTTACCGAAGCATGTAGCATAAAGTATGATGTTCACACGGAGGAATATGCAGTGGAAAATTGGTGTGCTTAATGCTATTGGACTTAAAGATTCTTTTCCTTATTCTGCACTTAAAGATTCTTTTCCTTATTCTGCATGATCATAATTGCATGCATTTTCCCAGGGGTTTTAATTTACCTTTTACTGAATCTAGGCATATAAAGTACACTGAAATAGACTGTAACCTTACTAACTTAAATGTATGTTAAAAGGTGTTTTCATACTTATATGATCCTAAATTCCTTTAGATTATTTTTATTTTGGGTGAGATCAGTTGTTGATATGTAGTTCACATGTGTGCCTCTGCTGTTTTGCATCAGTGAGTTAAATCCACCATTTCAGTGAGCTCATAATTGAGAAGTATTTGAAATGTATAATTAGAAGGAAAGCTACTGATAGAGTAAATGTGCAGAGAGATTGTCCTTTGGGAAAGGGGGGAAAAGTGTACAACTGTTTTACTGGAGAAACTGAAATTTGGTATTTCCTCGAAGATGCTTAACTTTAAGGCTTTTGGTGGTATGTGAAAGCATTCACTTTGCCCTTATCTCACCCTCATTTCTAATTCATGTACTAAAGGTATATTGGTGATGATATCTGTGCTCTTTTTTTTTTACCCTTTTTTAATTAAGTAAAGTTTAGCAGTTGAATAACAATTATATTATCTTAGGATTTCTGACTTCTAAAATAATTCTAAATATAGCCTGCTACTTAACTTTGAATTCAGTGCACTAGTGTCCCTTTCAGGTGACCTTCAAGAGAGGGCCACAGAGCCCTATGACCCTAAAAAAGTGTTAGCCTTCTGTCATCTACATTACTATTTCAAATTTGCTTCAGCTGAGGTATATAAGCAGTGTTTATTCCTTTGTGCAAAGCAGAATGCAAGTGTTTACCCTGCTGTTTTATACCATTCAGCATAAACTTGTGAATTAAAGGATTTTATGACTTCTGTTCTCAACTGGAGAAGGAAACTTGTTCACTAGAGACAGCAGGAAAAGAAGATACTATCATAACTACTGAAAAGTAGCAATATCCATTAATATTTTGGCACTCCAGATCATGAGCTGAGTTTAGTCTAGTCATGGCATCCTATTGTAAACAAACACACTGTTACCTTGTGTGGTGCCCCTCAACTTGATCTGTCTTTCATCGAATGATAGTTGGATCACTTGCACTTTTGCAGAGCTTTTTTTATGTGGAGCTAGAAAACATCTCCATGTAGTATGGTAATGCATACCTACAAGCAACTATACTTCAGAAAACAGCTTCTCTAATCTGTAGGGTTTTTTTCTGGTTTAGTATGCTGCTGGCTACAAATGTACATTGCAGACAAGGAACAAATATCTTTCATTTTTAACCAGACTTGTACTTCATGGGTAAATGGCAACTGTAGAATAATGTTAAACCACTTAATTATGTTATAGATGAAATTCTGCGGGCAGAACAGAAATCTGATGTCCTCAATTTGATATAAGGTATTTTATCCAAGGTTCCTTTTTTTAAGTGGTACTTTGCTTCAACTAGATGTCTTTGAGACCTTTTAAAAGTACCTTAAAAAAACAAAATATGAGTGCTGATAATGCTTAATACAGAAGATGATGGACATTCTTTATCTGACACTTCATGGTAATGTTAATTTCAACTTGTCATAGGTTGGGTGCATTTCAAAGAATAACTATTCATCATGTACATAATCATTGAAAAAAATTTCATGTTGAAATTAAAGATTACTTAAGAGTTTTTGTAGAATAACTTGAAAATTTTTTCCTCATTTCAGTTGCTAAGCTTCATTGCCATTGGAGTTTACAACCTTGTATACCACTGTAATATTTGCTTTCAGACAGAACAGTTCATGAATATCATGTAAAATTAGAATGCTAAAATCAAGCAGAAATGGAAGCCAATCTGTTCTTCTATACTTCTGCTACACTTATAATATTTCATATCCATGCAGTTTCTACAGCTCATTAAACAAATGGCAGATTCTTGAGAGTTTAATGCTATGAAAGCTAGCCTCTAAAATAAAAAATGAATAATAGTGGTGGATAATGAGATAACATCAGCTTTAAGGTGGGTTGGAATGACTGGGTCTCCTATGGATTCTAGGAATTCTAAGGCAGTGCCTTTTTGCATAGAGCCATGGAAATAATCTGTGTAGGTCATTCCCTACATTTTGGAAGGGGTGGTCATTGGAGTCTAACAAATCAGGTTTCATGAAAATCTTTAAATAGACAACCAGTAGTGAGGTGGGTGGCTCTGGAAAGGGGTAGAACAGGCTGTTTCTCAGTGGTTGCATTTATTAATGAAAATTGATAAAACTGAGCAAAATAGGTCTTTCTGGAAAGATCACTTTCTCAGAAGATAAAACAATACACAACTACTGAAATGTTCTCTTACTTTGGGGAACTGAATTTTTGAATAGATAACTGTATAATAGAGTTTCAGTCTATCTTCTCCTGATGTCGGTTCTAAGACCGACCTTTCTTAGGTAATTTAACACCTACAGAATATAGTGAACTGGAAATGCAGCACTTGAAGAGGCACTGTGTCCATCTTGCTCATCAATTTCTCTGAAACTTTGGAGGGAGAAGAAACTATCACCATGTCAAATGTACTGGCAATTTAAAGATGTGAACTGAAAGGCTTATTATCTGCTGATAGCTGAGCAGTGTTTTAGCCAACAGCTGGTGACATCCCTACCTGTCAGAGCTGGAATATAAGCAGCATGATTACCCAGGCTATGTGAGGATAATATGTCTGAAGTTGGAAACAAAATAACAGAATGGAATACATCTTTGTACAGTGACATGCTTATACCTATATAACTCAGTGTTAGCCAAACCAAGAAAATAGGTATTTTTTGCTACTTAGATGCCACACCATGTTGTAAGATAGTTGAGTTCTAACTTTAAAACTAGACTTTTAGTCATATAAATCTGTGCTGAATGTGATAATTTTTTAAAAAGGGAAAGAAACACTGGCCTAAATCTTGAATCAGTCCTCTGAATGTCAGTGTCCAAACTAAGTGCTGGTTTATTTTCTGATACTTGAGCTGCACCATGCCTTTATCTGCTGTTACTACTTGGTGATTCCTGTAGTTGCATGTGTCACACCTCAGTGTGGAAATGGAGAACTGCTAGTTCCATGACCACCTGTTAATGATACTAAATGCTGCTTACACATGCTATTTATGTCAGCTGTATGAGAAATACTTCAACTTCTGCAGTATCTCACAAGAGTTGCTTTCCTTCTGAGTAAAGTAAGTTTAGACATCAGTGCCTCTTGATCACTCTTGCACTCCTCTGTTACTGAAATGCTTTATAAATGCTAGTGGCATGTTCAAGACGGCAAAAAATACAGAGCTTGTAAGTGCTAATGTGTAGTGCACTGATTCTTCCAGTCATGAAGATAACCTTCCCAGTTGTGAGGTAAAATGAATTTTAAAAAGTTTGAGGCAGTTGATTTTACAGCTGTTGTCATAGAAGTAGCTTGTGCAACAGCTAGAGGTCTCTGGCAGGCCAGCTTTCCTATTAGCATCAATTTTTTATTTTAACATCATTTGGAGACCTTTTAACACCACAGAGGGAGGACCTGATGCCCATTTTTACAGAATAGTTTTACATCAAGCACACAAAGGCTTTTTTTAAAGAACAAAACTCAAGTGTTTGCTGGGAGGTGGAGGGGGCGGAATGGAAATCTCATTCTGACTGTAGCTAATAGTTACACTTGATGCTGGTTTGCTGATATAATGCAAATTTCCTGGAGCGGATGCCAGCATTTAAGACAGAATGAAAATATCTAAGCTGCCTGCTGAGACTGTCTAGTTAAGATGAGAGGTTTTCCGTAAATGGTCCCTTGCTAATGGTTTGCTAGGTCTTAAGCACAAGCCTCTTAAAGGAAGCTGTAAGCAAACAAAAAAGTAGGGTTTTTTACCATTTCCTGCAATTGAGACTCCTGCTTCAAGCTTAAAATGTATTGATTGCCCTGTGGTAGCAGATTCTTTACCTGCTTGTGGCTGGTAACAAATTTATGCAAATGTGTACTGTTTCTGTGAAAAAGCCAATGTGGTGCAAGTTTATTAAAGTATATTTTACTTGCATGCACGATTTAAGTGTCTCGATGTCAGTTCCCTCTACAGTTAAGCTTTTTGACCCAACAATTTAGACATTGAAAAGTTCAGATTTATTTATTTTTCCCTTGGAATAAAAGTTTCACTAGTCTTTTTTCTACTTTAACATACTTTATAGCCACTAATGCTACTAATATCAGACACTCTATAACTCTTGATGGTAGTACTTTGTATGCTAGAAAGCCTAAAAGTTTGGCGTATCTTCATATAAAATATCATTCAACATTTACAGGATCGGAGGGATAAGAGATTGTTTGCAATTGTCCAAACAGGAATTTGTTGGGTCATTGCCAGGCAAGAAGTCAACAGAATACTTGCTCCAACTGTTGACTATGCAGCTCAGTAACAAAGCTGAGCTTGTTGATATTTCTCTTGTTTGAGTGGATTTTTCCTAAACTCAATTGCATTGAGTGATTGAAACTTTTGTAAACATGGAAGGATGAGGAGCTATTGCAGAGTTTAAGAATTAAGTGGATGTCTGTCTTAACCCTGTTTGTTACTTTTGATGTTGAACTGATGGCCTGTCCTGACAAGAGCTATTTTCTGTAGACAAATGTTAGAATTGCCTCAGGTGTAACTGACTGTCAGTTTTTTCCCCTATTAAAATGATGTTTAGGCAGTCATGACTCCTTTGTAGGTAGAATCCTGGTGTG